TTTAATACCACCATTAGTCTCATTATTAGAAGAAGCAAAACAAACAATACCAGACTGGTTAGAAGAAAAAGCACAAGAGTATAGAAAACCATTTGGCTCAAAAAGAGGTAGAAAAGGTGGGTATAATAGAAGAGGAGCTGGAAGGTTTGGAGGAAGAGATAGAAGATATGAAAGAAGAAGAGACAATGAATGGGATAATGCTAGATCAGTTAGTACACCAATAAAACCTCATATGTTTGATTAATGTGAATTAATTAAAAGTATTAAAAATATTCAGAAGTGTTGTTTGGAAAGAATTCTTAATTCTAATAAGAAGGATACTACATTTTGAATTTCTTATTGCAACTCTATTTCCTTGTTCTACAAAGTCATTGGTTTAAATGTATTTTTATTCTGATTGTTATTCTTCTTTTAAGAAGTCCTTTTTATTCTTAAATAAAACTATTTATTGACTGATTTGTTTTGTTTGTGATATATTTTACAAAAGAAATACTGAGTGGTTGAAAGTTTAATTTGTAATTAAATAGTTATTTTTTGTTATGTTCTTCATAAACTAATTCAAAAATAAATTCTTTTTGAAACTTTGTATTATTTTAACCTGCCTACAAGTAGCATTTGATAATAAAATATTATTTTAGAATAAATATTAACATACTTAACTTTCATTTTTAGAGATTATAATTTGATGTTCTAATTCAAAAATATGAGAAAAGAGCATTGAAGATATTTAAATTAGCTTCATAGCATATAAATATAATAACAATAAAATTTTCAATCAATTAAATTATTCACTTATTACTGTAAACTGTTTCTAACATTCTTACAATTTCATCTATTGTTATTCTTTCTTTTGATTCTTGTTGCAATGACTTTTCAATAATTTCTTTTATATCTTCTTCTACTTCTTGTATTATGACTGGTCGATTGCCTGTTGTGATTGTGTCTGCTATTAGCCATGGATGTGGATATAATGTTTTAGGAAATGGATCTTGCCATGTAATGATTTGTAACATTGTTATTGAAAATGAATATATATCTGATTGCATTTTGTAATGTTGACGATTTAATATTTCTGGTGCCATGTATTTTGGTGTTCCTATTCCTTTTGTGAATGTCATATTTGTCATCATCATATTGATGTTTCTTGCACTTCCAAAATCCGTTAATTTACAATTAACTTCAATGTTATCATCAAGTGATACAACAAGAAAATTATCTGGTTTAATATCTCGATGTAACATTCCATTTGAATGAAGATATGAAATTCCTTTTGCTCCATCTATCAGAAATTTGATTCGTATTTTCTTTGATATTTCTGTGATGTTTCTTTTATTCATTATATTTTGTATTGATCCATATTCTGCATATTCCGTTACCATACATATTTTATTAGGAATAAATACTGCTCCATAAAATTGAATAATATATTCATCTCGAAATTTATCTAACATTGCTACTTCTTTCTCAAATTCTTTCTTTTTATCTTCATTTTCTTCAATTTGTTTCATTTTCTTAATTGCTACTTTATTTCCTCTAAATTCTCCAACATAAACAATTCCAAATGTTCCTTCTCCTATTTTCTTTTCTTCTTTTATTTCATCTGGATCAAGTCGTGTTGATATTTCTGTTCCTCCTTCAATAGAAATAATTTTGATTGTTTCTTCTTGTGCTTTATTAAGTGTTTTACTAATTATCATTATTTTATCTTTGATTTTAGTTGTACATTTGATTGTAATGAATAATTCAAATTCACATGCATATCCTCCTTCAATTGTAATGACATTTGGGTTTGTTCTAATTGAATATTTCTCATTTTCTTCTTTACTACTTATTTGTATCTTCATCTTCTCTTTCTTTGAATTTCCAATACAAATCAATTCTCGTATTTCTTCATTCACTTTAATTTCTTCTCCTTCTTGAAGTTCAATCTCATTCTTATTTGATAATATCCCATCTCCAAGTGATATGAATCTAATATTTGATTGTGTTATTTTGAATATTGTTGTTGTTTTCTCTCGTTCTTTCTTTTCTTTTCTCTTCATTATGTAATTAGTAATTATTATTATCATTACAATTGTTATAATAATGATAATAATTATAATAATGATGATTATCATTATCATCCACCATACTACTTCTTTATTACATTCATTTCCTTCTTCATTCGTTCCATACCAAAATGAACATTTCCAACATTTATTATTCTTGACTTCTTTACATTTATTAATATCTAAATAGTAAATACACTCTTTATTTTTTAATACATATTCATCTTCACAACTATTACATTCATTCTTTATTGAACATCTTGTACAATTCTCTTTACATTTCGAACATTCTTTATTTATTAAATAATATCCTTCTGAACATTCTCTACATCCATATTCTTTATCTATTTCTCCTTTACATCCTTTAACTTCGTCTATTGATTTACATTCTCCTATCCAACTCATGAAATATTCATCTGCACATGTTATACATTTATCTTTTTGATTGCATGTTTCACACATTCTTTCACATATTTCACATCCTTTTCCATTTCTATAATATCCTTTATTACATATTCCACATCCACTTCCATCTGCTAATAATTGTAAACATGTTCCATTTAATTCTTTATTTGATTGACATGTTCTATTACTACTTAAATATTTATCACTAGAACAACTCATACAATATATAGCTGAACCAAAACATGTTTTACAATTATCATCACATTTTGAACATTTCATATTTGTTGTTAAATAATATCCATCTGAACATCGTTTACATCCATATGTATTTTGTTCTTCACATTTTTCTATTGTTATATTAATACATTCTCCTTTTGAATTAAGTGAATATGTTGTTAAACATTCAACACATTTTCCATTAACATATGATTCATTTGAACAATTTGAAATATTGTAATTACATTTTCCATTTTGATCTTTTATCTTTCCTTCTTCACGTGTTTCATTTATACATGTATTATTATCTAATCGTTGTTCATTTTTACATTTTAATTCAATATCATCTGAATTACATATTGCTGATTTTGTACATTCTATACATTGATTATCCTTGATGTATTTTCCATTTTCACAATATATTTCTTCATTCTTTCCATTTTTATTTTCTTTACTTTCACATATTCCATTATTTAATGTATATTCATTTGAACATGAAGCACATTCATTTCCTTCATAATAACATTCTTCTTCATCTTTAACACATGTATTATTTTCTATTTTATATCCATTTGAACATTTTAAACAATAATTCCTTTCTGACTTTTTACAATTATTCATGTCTTGACATTCTCCATTTTCATTAACATATCTTTCTTTACATTGATAACAATATGTTTCAGTTCCAATTGTACAATTTTTTTGCGATATTTGACATTCATATGTTGAATTAAGATAATATCCATATTCACATTCAACACAATGACTTTGATTATTTATTTTAGTACAGTGTGAATTTTTTTGACATTTATTGTTTGAATTAAGATAATATCCACTTTTACATTGAATACATTCAATTACATTTTCTTTGTAAATCATACTATCACAGTGATAATCATTCTTACCATTACTAAATGTAATTCCTCACATACCAATAAACATTATTTGACTTTTCATTGATGATGTTGTTTCTGAAAACTTTATTTTGTCTAAAATTGATAATGGCTTTGATGAAGAAATTATTACTGTTGAAATTGACTTGTCACTATCTTCTACTTCTTTAATTAATGTTACTGTACCTTCATTTGATTTTCCAATTGTTAAAGTAAATTCAATTCTTTGATATGGTTCTTTCTTTCTATAAATGTTGAGAGTTGTTTGATTTGTAGATTCATATTTTAACCATTGATTAGGATATGTATAAACTGTATGAATCTTTGATGAGTTATAGTTATTGATGATAACATAATTATTAGTTGATAATGAGATCAAATAATTATCATTAGGTAAAGATAATAAAGATACATATACGGTAATAACAAATGAATTAAAGTCATCTTCATCGTCTTTTGTAAATGTACGTGTACATTCTGATGTTATGTTATGAATTATAATATTATTAACACTAAAATAACGAATCATTTAACTCTTATTATGTTAAAATAGTTATTTTGATGGTTTTGTGTTTATTATTTATTTTATGTATTTGTTGCGTTTGTTTGATATTAAAGAGAAAAATAAAGATAGTTATTGGTATAAAAAATAAAATGAAGAAAATATTATTCAACGTTATAAAAATATGAAAGAAATGTGTTTATAGAAACTGTTTTGGTTAATAAAACTTTCTTTTTTCTTTAACTAGTCGATTTAAAATAACTGATATTCTCTGTTTTGATATAAAAATGCTCTTTTTATTTTTTTTAGAAGAAGTTAAAATATTAAAAGTACTTTTAGTTAATATTTAAACAATTGTATATTGCTTTGTTCACTAAATGAATTAATTTTTAAGATGGATAAAGTATTATTTTATTTGTTTTTGTGTGTTATTATAAAAAATCAATGCTTTTTAAAAGTATATTTTTTGAATATCTTAGTATCTTTATGTTCAAACCATTCCTAACAAGAAGGTAAATTCCTTGAACCAATAAGAGAATTTAATGAATCATTAATTAATATTATTTTTGTTATTTTGTTTAAATAAAATACAAACTATAAGAATTTGGTATATTGAATTAATTTCATTTTAATATTTTTATTCGTTTTGAAGAAGAAAAACAAATGTCATAACAAGTATTAAAAGAGAAAGATTTTGTAACAAAGATTAGACTTAAAACTTTTATATTGAAATAAGTTAAAATAAATGAAATAAACACAAAGAAAAAAAAACCAGTAGATATATATTAGAAAATAGAATAAAAAAAGGGAATTAATACAATTTAGTTTTCTAGTTCAGCAATAGGAATTTTTTTCTGTTTAAATATTCCAAAGACTTTACAATATATATTACATTTATGAGGTTGTGAGTTTGTCGAATGTCTTCTTTTCCAATAATAAAATTTTGATGTAGAATTACAATGAATAACAACCGAAGAGATAATAAATATATTTTCATGGTTAGTTCCATAAATTTCATCAATGAATATAGTTTCCTCACTTTGAATGAATACAAAATGTATAAATGCTTGAATAATATCATGTGAAATAATAGATTTAGAATTTAAACCCTGAGTTAATAATATATATCTTGAAAAAGGATTATTTATATTTGGAGTAAAACAATACATTTTTTCAAACTGAATTTGTTTATTTTTTAATCCACAACATTCACAACGAGTATTAAATTCATCTACAAATATTTTAATAATTTTTTGTCCTTCAAAACAATCAATAATTTCATTTTCATTTCCTTCAGCAATTTTATTTACTTCTATTTTAGTAGTTGATGTGTCAATAACTATTTTTCCTTTTTGATATTCAATAACCATTTCATTATTATCTTTTTTTACTGGAAATAATAGTGCATTCCAATGAACAAATTCTAATTCAATTGAATATCCTTTTATTTTTTGTTCAAATTGAAAAGGAATAAAACAATGTTCATTAATATAATATTTAAATAATTCTATAGGTACTTTTGTTTTAATATACGGATTGAGAATATTGTTATCACTTTGAAGAAAACAAATTGTTATAGATCTTTTCTTTACTATTTCAAGCTCTTTTGAAATTTGTAATTCATTTGGGAGAAAAAGAGAGTCAATGAAAACAATTCTATTACCATAATTCATTTTTTCTTTTTTTAATATATTTAAAACGTCAATAAGTGGTATTATAGATGAACTATTATCATCATCTTCTTTAAAAAATGGAAGAATGTCAGGTTTTTCAAATTTACTAAAATTAAGAGAATGTATTATTTTAATCGTTTTGGAAATTAAAAATATTTTAAGTGATGAACAATATGGAATTGAAGATAAAAAGTAATGAAATAATTCGTACATTTGATAAAATTCCTGAATTTCTTTTTTTCTTCCTTTTGATATATCACAAATCATAAAAATATTCATTGAATTTAAAGAAGATAATATTCCACTATGAACTAAATGTAATATACAAAATGGATTTATTGCCATTTTTTCTGCTTTACGTTGAGCCATTTGATTAGATATTCTTTTTTTTCCATTGTCAAGAGAGAGATGAATTAAATTAAACATAAATTCATTCATCTCGTAAGTTTTAATTTAATATTTAGTTCAATTTTCGAAGTTTATAAAAACTTGAAATAAACTAAAAAATAATTTAAGAAAATTTGTTTTAAATGAAGAAAAAATATTCTACATCTTCTTATTTGAAAAATTCATTAAGATTTATAGGATTAAATAGTGTTCAAGCTGGTGTTCAATTTTGTTGTTTGTTATAAACATTTAAATAACTTTAATGAGAAGAAATTAATGAATTTTAGATTCTACAATTACCAGTGTAGCAATTCCATATTTTGGAGTAATTAATAACAAAGAAGAAGAAAATGGAGTTTATGGGATTGCTCAAATTACAATTGGAATTTGTGGATCAATTGTTGGAATGATTATAACATTATGTGTATGTGGATGGAGTGATAGATGTACTTTCAAATATGGAAGACGTAGAATATTTATTGGTATTGGGGTGTTATTTGAATGTATTTCAATAATATTCTTAATTACTAGTGAATTTACTTGTAAATATTGCCATATTGGTTATTCACCTTCTTCTACAAATGGAATTGATTGGTCATCAAATATACTTGCATTTATTGGATTATCTTTTATGTATCTTGGAGCTAATTTTATGAGTGAACCTTCTCATGCATTAATACCTGATTTCTTTAATTATAAAAATCAACAAATTGCTTATTTTTATAGTGCAGCTTTAGGTGCAATTTCAGGATTTGTTTGTAATGTAATTGGAGGAATAATATTACTTACAAGATGTGGTTATTATTATTCAATAATCTTTAGTATATCATTTATTGTATTATTAATAAGTTTTATTCCAACATTAATTGTTGCTGATGAAGAAAAATTTATTCCACCTGATGAAGACTTTTCTTTTAAACGGTTTATTCTTGCACCTTTTATTAATACTTATCATGGAATTAAAGAAATAACAATTGAATTAATAATAATTTATATTCTTTTAATGTTATCATGGATTGCCTATTATCCTGCTTCATTTAATATGACAATTTATTATGCAAAAGATATTTTTCATATAAATAATCAAACAAATCCTAAATTCTCTACTGCAATTTCAATAGGAATGTTTAGTACTGCTTCATTTTGGTTTATTCAAGTTATTTCTCCTTTTGTATTACCATTATTTGAAAAATGTTATGGAAAAGTTCGTTTATATTTTATTTCTAATATTTTTGCTGTTTTTTCTTATGCAATTCTTTCTATTGCACCTTCTATTATTAGTAAGAATGTCGCTTTTAATCCTTCTGTTACTGATATTTTAATTATTTCTTCTTGTTTTATTGCTCATCAAATTACTGCTTTTCAGTTTGTTGAAATGAATTCTTTACCTTTTTCATATATGAAAAAATTAGTTTCATCACATTCTTATGCAACTCATCTTGGTTTAATTAATGTTTTTATTACTTTTGGACAAATTATATCTTTATTACTTGCAGCTGGGTTATTACAAATAGACGTTTGGACAATTATGGCATTTAGTTCTGTTTGTTTTTTATTTGTTTCATTACTTTCCACACTTTTATTCTTTGTCGATAAGAAAGTAGACAGTCTTCTTCATCAAGTGATGAAATTTGAAAATGAAACAACAACACCTAATTTTATTTTTGAATAATTATTATTAGTGTTTTTTATTCAACAAATTTTATTTTATGTTGTAATTCATATTTTTGTTATGTTTTTCAATTATTTGTTTATTTTCTTGTTTCGGTATTTAATATAATAAGAAATGGGTTCTTTGTTAGTTTAAACAATATAAATCATATAGACATAGAAATAAAGTAAGTAATATAAACTTATAACAAGATTAGCTTCACAGTTTCTAAACTATAAACTTTGATAGTTCATAGTCATTTCAAAGATTTATTGAATAAAAATTAATAAGACTATTGTTTCTTGTAATTTTAATAAATGCAAATGTTGTAAGTTTGTTTAAATAAAACAATGGTCAAACAACAAGATATATCAATTTCATACTTTCATTGTAATAAATATTATCTATTTATAATTATAACATAACCTACAATAAAATTAAATATTTGATTATTCCATTTTCATATAATTTTATTACATATAGTAATAACGAAAAAAACATAAGAAAAACATAAGGAAAACACGAGAAGAAATAAAAATAATAGAGAAGAAGAAAATGATAAAGAAGAAATACTTGCACTTCAAAGTCGAATTATTGAATTAGAAGAAAAAGTTAAAGAATATCAAGCAAAAAGAATGGAAGAAGAACAAGCTATCTCAGAAGAAATGATGAGAAAAACAAAAGAAGTAATCAGAAAAGAAAATGAGAAAGAAATAACAGAAATGAAAACACAAAATAAAAAGATTCAAACGAATTATAACGAAATGAAGAAAGAAAATGAAAAACTCGAAGAAGAAAATTTAAAACTACGAGGAAAAATAAATGAGATAGAAGGAAAGAAAATCACAGAAGTAAATAATAAAGAAGAAAAAATCCGAAGCATCCAAGCTAATAAAAAGAAGACGAAAAAAGAAAATGAAGAAATGAAAGAAGAAATTGAAAAGTTGAAAAAGAGAAACAAGATACTAGAACAAAATGCAAACACACTAGAGAAGAAAATTGAAATGATAGAGGAAAATACTAAAGAATTAAAGAAAGAAATAAGAGATAAAGAAAAACAAATCTCTGAATATCAAGAAATTGCAATTAAAAACCAAGAAATTGCAGAAATAACAAGAGAAGAATTAGACAACACAAAAAAAGAAAATGAGACACAAAAACAAATAATATCAAAACAACAAGATGATATTGAAAATTTTATCTCACAGAAGGAACTAGAGAAGAAGAAAACTATGACACTTGTGATAAATACACAACCAGTATTGAGGAAAGCATCATCAGGAACAATGGAGATGAACGAAACTACTCCTATGAAAAAGACAGTAGTGGAAATAGAAGAGAAAAGCACTGATTGTCAAAAAACAAGAGATGATAGTCAGACAAGAAATACAACAAAAGAAAGAAATAGAAATTTAATTGAAGTGTTGTATTGTTTTGCAATTAATTGGTTGAATAAGAAATTATATAAGAAATTAAGATGGGAACAAATTGAAAGTATAATAAAAATGATAAACATCAATGTCAATAATGAAAATGAATATATTAAATATAATAAAATATCACATAAAATAAAAGAAAGTACTAAACGGTACATTAAAGTGAAAGTAAATGATATAATAGAAGGAAGAGTAAAGTGTGATTCAATAATAAAAAACATCATAATAAAGAATAACTCTACAGAAATTGATGAAGAATACCTTAACACTCTCATCAATAAAGTGAAAGAAATGAAAATAGAAAAATGTACAAATATTAATTACTACTGGAAAAGAAAAGAAACTGACCGATTAATAATGGAAATTAATAATAGATTGATATGGTCAGGAAGCAGAATGCAGGATCTGCAAGATGATATGGATATTTCAATGGTTATGCACCTCTATCTCCAAAATAAAATAATAGGAGATAAATTTGATGAAATAAAAGAAATCCTAAAGAAAATAAATAGACTAGAAGATTTGGTCAAGGGAAGGAAATGGTACAGAATAAAGTGCATCATGAAATTAAATGAACGTGATGAATAAGGAATAAAAGTCAAAGCACTAGAAAGAATAAAGTACCTAAAATATATGATGACAATGATCAAAGAAAGAATTAAATTTAATAAAAATGAAATAATCAGAATCAATACAAATAAAATCATGTTTGATTCTAATAAGAAAATTAGAATAAGGAAGAAAGACCCAAAAAATGAAATATACCCAAATAACGATATTACTTTAGAATAATGGAAATCGTTATATGAAACACAGGTGAGATTAAATAAAGATAATTGGAAATAAAACAAAACACGATATTGAATGAAAGATATAGAAATTATGATAATGTCATTATAACAATAAATGAATTAAATTTAAGTATAATGAAAATAAATAATTGGAAAGCACAAGGAATAGACACTATATATGGGTATTATTGGAAAAGGATGTCATCATCAAGAGAAGCCATTCTCAACATCTTCAATGAATGGTTGAACTTCAATCAAAACATCCCATTAGACATGGTAAGTGGAAGAACTTTATTAATCCACAAAGTGATAGGAATTATGTCACTAATTATCGTCCTATCAGTTGTACAAATGTAATTATGAAAGTATTTACCTCCATATTAAAAGAAAAGATTCACAGAAGACTTAACATGAATTGTGAATCATTTAAAATTAGTAGTAATTAATTGGGATGTAAATTACAATCTTTAGCTGCTAAAGAAGGAATAATTAATAGTTATATGTTAAAGCAGAAAGAAGAGAAATACCCAAAATATGTGGAGTCATATTATGACATTAAGAAAGCATATGACACAGTAAACCACGAATGGGTAATTGAATCATTAAAATATTTTAATGTAGAGGGTGTCATCATTGACAATATTGAAAGTATGATGACTAGATGGAAGATATTCATATGCTATAAATTTAATGAATATCTAGGATGTATTAAATTAAATAGAGGAATTTTACAAGGTGATTTCTTATCCCCTCTACTCTTCATCATTCAGATGAATGTAATTTCTCAAATCATCGAAGAGAAATTCCCAAAAGCAAATCACACATTATATATGGATGATTTGAGAATAATGACAGAAAGTAGTGAAGAAATGGGAATAATCCACAACGAAATTAAAGAAATAATAAGTGGAATAGGGATGGAAATGAATGAGAAAAAGTCAGGAATGGTATTAAAAACATTAAAGAAATACCAAATGGAATGCAAAACATCCCAGTCATTGAAGGTGAGGACTTGTATAAATACTTAGGAATATGGCAGTCCGACGAAATTGATGACACCTTCAATTGTAAATTCATCAAAGAAAAAATGAATCAGAAGATGGAAGAAATAAACAGTGATGAAAGTAGTAATAGAAGATATATTACTAGAATAAATAATGAAGTAATCCCTATCTTCAGATATTCAGCATCAGTTGTAAATTGGAAAATAACTGACCTAGACAAAATTGATTTGGAGATAAGAAAATAAATAAGAAAGGCAAAATACATTGGTGAAACTCCAAAGATAGGTTGTATGTCATTATATAAGAAATGAAGGATTAATAAATATAAATGACGAATATGTTATCGAATTAGTAAGAACAGTGATGTACTACTGTACCAGAGAAAGTGAAATAGGAAATAACATATTAGATAGATGGTACAGTAAGAAGGGAATATGGAATAGAATTAAAAACATTAATTCATAAAATAAATGAAACAAAAATAGAAGAAATAATAAATGAAAGAAAAGAAAAGAAAAAAGAAAAAGAAGTAGTAGTAGAAATAAAAAAATTATTGACCAATACATCAAAATATGGAAGTGTCATCAAATAAGTGGACACTTTAGAAGATGGTTCGAGTCAAAATGAGTAGATAAAACTACTACAGTGAAAGCATGGAACTTCATCAATATTAAAAAGAATGCATTCCTACAATTAACTAAAATGCAAGATGGAGCAATATTTTGTGGGTATAGAAAATCAAAAATAATGAAAAATGAAAGATTGAAATACTCAACACTTTGTAAAGACAAGATAGCTACAGTAGAGCACATTATACTATCTTGTATTTATCATAATAAATCACAAATGGAAAAACATGACAATATTGGTATTATAATATTGATTAATAAGAAAATACACTGGAAATAAACAATATAAAAAACCTCCATATGAAACAATGTTCCAATATAAAGACATCACAATGATATGGAACAAACAAATAATGCATAAAAGTGAATGACAATACCACAAAATACCAGACATATATGTATTAGATAAAAAGAATAAAACTTGTCTATTATTTGATATGACTATTGTAGATTATCACAATATTAATGGAGTGTAAATGAAGAAAAGAAATAAGTATAATGAATTAAAGAATATTCTAATGAAAATAGAAAAATTAAAAGATGTCAAAATAATTCCAGTAATAATCTCAATTAATGGATTAATGAATAAAGAAAGTAATAAATTAATTAAAGAATTAAGAATTGAAATTGACATCGAGAAAGAAGTAAAAAACCTTGTAATAAAAAACATGAAGGATGTCATGGAATACTGCGGAGATCACAATCAAACATACTCTGTAGAGATACTAGAAGAAGAAGACGAAGGGACGGGATTAGTCTCCCCTAAGCCAGGAAGAATAGAAGCTAGTTCTATTAATACTTAATTAATTGCTTTTTTATTTATTATTTCATCTTTTGTGATTTGAATTTTCATGTTTTATCAACACCACTTCAATCAAATTAAATTAATAAAGATAATAAATGATAAACAAAAAATAAGATAATAAAATAAGAATAAGAAATAAAAGAGAAAAGAAATGAAATAATTATTATAAATACACAATGAATAAACGAAATTAAAATAAGAAATAAAATGATAAAAATACATTAAATAACATAATAGAAGAAATAATCATTATTTTAATTATTAAAATATTTAATACGAGAAAATATCAATATTATTAATATTTCTTTTTGTTTATTGAAGATGAAATAATAAGTATCATAATATTTTGAAATAAA